GCACAGATCACATTAGCCATTGTATATCCAGGATATATTTGATTCTAAGGAATTTATGGCAAACGTGTAACTGCCTACCAACTAACATAAAACTTAAATTAGTACGGTCTCTTATTGTCCCCAACATTTCGTATTTCGAATTAGTTTATTGTAATCTGGACAGTGAATCCAAGAACAAATTAAATATGGCCTTAAATAATACAGCCAGAATTATTTACGGTAAAAGAAAGTATGACCACATTTCAGAGTTCACAAAAAGCATCTTAGGCTCGAACTTGGAGTAGGGTTGCCAGACGTACTGCTTTTGGGAGTAAACGTACTCCTTTTTATTGCAATGTACTCCCATGTACTCCCAAAAAAAATATCTGGAAATGTACTCCTTTATTAGTTTTGAACTTCTTTTGCACTCTTTTTTCCAGATATTAATATTTTATCATATACAGGGTGTAAAATAATAACTGTTGTAGTTTTTTTTGAAAAATAAAATTGGCCTTTATAGATTTTGCGAAAAAAGTAGTTCATTGTTAATTATCCACAGATTTTACTTCAATTTTATTAATTTGTTTTTAAATTTTAACCTTCATTTGGGTTTACCGGCGATAAACACTTTGAGAGAAAAGCGCAAGTAAAATAAGTAGTTATTGTATAGATTTTAAATTTAACCCTCATATGGGTTTACCAGGGTGGTTTGGGAGAAAAGCGTAAGCGGCACGCAAGTCTTCGTCGGTTACTTTATTACATATCTTCTGTAACCATAGGCTAATTTCATCCCACTAGGAGGGAATTCATTCGACCAACCCTATACAGTTTTTTTTTCTTTATACAAAATTTAAGAAAAAATACACCTGAAAAAGAGGTGTGTCCCAAAGCTTGCAAATGCAAATAAGGATTAAAGTTTTAAAACCAATTAATAAAATTAAAGTAAAATATTGCCAAAGTTTACAAAAAAATACTTTGTTTAACAAAATCTATAAAGAACCCTTTTATTTTTCAAAAAACCTGTTCGACAGTTATTATTTTAGACCCTGTACTTTGCCATTCATATTGTGGCAAACACTACTTAGGGCCGGTTGTTCAATGACTGGTTATCACTACTTGGCGGTTAAACATCATTATCGACGATTTCGACATCATGCATATAACATGTGATCGATAAAGCAGTCGTTGTATCTAACCGGAGCTTCTACCTCCGATCTGTGCTAATCAGACATTGAACAACCGGCCCTTAGTAAGCAAAGTTAAGTGTTACTATGTTTATACGTAAGCTATTTGCAAATAAAAATAATTTGCAAATACTTAACTCACTGTTTATTCGATGGTGAAAAATTCTTTTTTAATATTGCCTGATTATAAAAAGGCATTAAGATGACCATCGAAAAAGAAAATAAACCTAAGAATGGCGGCGTCTTGCGCCTATTTGCAAATAGTACCACTAATCAATACTTATTTGCGTGATTTAGTTATTTGCAAATAAAAAAAATAACTCAGTGTTTATACGGCAAAGTTTACCATTTTGCAAATTGTTATTTGCAAATAATACGTGCGAATAAACGTAGTATGTGATAGTGAAAAAGTGTAAGCATGGCCGTAGCAAGGTAGGTGCAAGGGCGCTCGGATATAAAAATCAGAAAAATATTAAATTATTTAAAAGGCTTAATTTAAAAAAATGGCCATACATTCAGGAAGAGTCTGGAATTCTTTCCTATAAGGGCGGTCATTGAAAGGGCGGTGAGCGAAGGGTGAGTGGGCGTGTACCTCCAACCCCCCCTTAGGCGCCCTATGCGTCCCAGGGACCCTTTAGAAAAATCGCCAAAAATCACAATTTTCACTTGCGTCCACAGTATTTTTGCGTAGAATTCGGTTAGGGATTATAACCCTTACTACGTAGAATCCTCCTTTCTGTGTTGCCGAAGAAGAGAGGAGGAACCCCTCTCTTCGTCAAAAGTGTATAACATTTCTTGTGGATATAATTCCGGCTTCGGTGTCCAAAGTATTTTTGCACTTAACTCCTTTCTGCGTAGGCGGCCTTTGGCCGCGCTTAGGGATTATAACCCTTACTAAGTAAAATTCTCCTTTCTGTGTTGCCGGGGAAGAGGGGCAGGCACCTCTTTTGTTATCAAGGGTATATAAAATGTCCCGTGCAAATGAATATTCAACCTTTTTCAAACGAAAAAACGCAAGTGAAAATTGTGACTTTTGGTAATTTTTCTAAAGGGTCCCTAGGGAACCTAGGTGGTCGCGAGTAACATTTTTGTCAATGGCGGTTCATGCCCTCTCCAAAAAGGTCGGAAAAGGTGCCACGTCCACTCCCCCTTCGATCTCCATCTCTTTAACAACCACCCCTATTGGAAAGCCAACCCATATAGTTATTTATTTTTCACATTTATTGTTGCTTTGAAAAAGATTTCTAAGAAATCTTTGTTTGTTTGTACCTAATTAATGGTAATTTGTAACAATAAATTGCACAAAAAATTAAAAAACAAATTGTACTCCTTTCTTATGTCATGTACTGCTTTTTTTCCTATCGAAAATATAAATGTACTCCTTTCTCCGTTTCAAAATCTGGCAACCCTAACTTGGAGAGCTATCTGAAGATTCGTAAAATTTTTGTATAAGTTAATTAGAAACCGCCAACCATGCTATCTTTACCGAAAACTGAACCTAGTTCAATCGTCTCGCACCCATAATATTATTGTACCTACGTATAAAACTTTAACAGCGTCTAGATTGTTTTTTGTTAGTGTTGTCAGAATCTGGAACTCCTTACCAACCTCAGTTAAATGTATAACAATGTTTGGATGCTTCAAAGCGGCAGTTACAAATCTTTTTAAGTAAAATCCTTCTACCTTCCCTAAAAATCTTCTCCTAAAATATTATCTTTATCTATTTTATATATAAATGCTTTTTTTTATTCACAACTATTACTTATAATTAAATATTGTTGTTACCATTACTATATTTTTCTGTACTTTACTTAATTAGATTTTATTTGAAGTTAATTTTGTAATTTTTTTTGGATTATTTGTACTCTGAAAAGACCTCGCGTTTTACTGTACTCAAGAAGTTAATAAATTGAATTGAATTTAATATCTTATGAACTACATAACCGATTCAAAAACTAATGACGCCAAAATAAAAACAAATAAATTTATCTTTCTGTTGATGTGCATTTATAAGCTTTATTATAGTTTTAATTTATATGCTTTATTATAATTTTATTTTTAATAAAAACTAAAAAACTAAAAGAAATTTCGTTTTTTTTCATGAAATAACCTTTTTTTAACAAAATTTCATGATAAATGCAAAAGAAATTTATATTATTAAGAAAGTAGAAGCTTTTACCTTTAATTTGATGTACATATTTTTTTTTATCATCTGCTGTTGAGTTTTAAGAATTTAGAGTTAATTTAGTGATAGTGAAAGAAGTTCTGCGCAAGTATCCTACGATATTACACATTTTCCGCATCTTGTTCCGCGTCCGGAAACACTGACATAGTTGACTACGAAAAATCAGCTGTTTATGGTTATCGTACCTATAATCGATGATAGTTAATGTGGTCACGGTTATGGCTATGGCGTTATGATATGTCACCACTACTTTAACCTTTAAGCGGATCGAGCAAGTGTTGAAAGTCCGAAAGTCGAGGGATGTTTGCCCTCACTAGTATGATTGTCAGTACTTGCGAGATGAGCAAGACGAACAGGATAAAAGAGGAGAGTTTGGCAATTGGAGCATATGTTGAAAGTCCGAAAGCGAGCATTTACTCCAGGCCCGAGTGCACGGGCCCAGGCTGGTGTATGTTTCCGAGTAAGATTAGTAAGATATGTGAGATGAGTCAGATGAGCAGGTTTGAAAATGGTGAAGTTGTCTAGTCAGCAACATGGTGGAAGCTGTTCTCCGGTTAGGCAGACAGTGCAGGAAGTTGAAACGGTGGCAAATCGAACTAGTTGGAAAGTTGAGTATGTGTGTATTCTGGTAAGTTCAGTAAGTTGGGTGAGTCGAGCTGGTCGAGCAAGTCTGGCTGGCGAGCATTACTCCGGTCTGTTCAATGAGGTACGGTCCCTTCGGCGAGTATCGCGGGGGCTGTGGTTTAACACCTAAATGCGGGTAGAACCATAATGGTTCAGTATGCAGGTGCATTGCAACCATGTGCCGGGACCTAAAGAACGGCAGAGATTTTAGGTAGGTTTCGGCTTTACCAAGGTGGTAAGTGTGTCTGCCCACACTGCCATTTAGAACTAAAATGCTCCGTGGAACTTGGACTGCATTATTGCAGGAGGTACCCACGTTAAACCTAACATACAGTTGTCCTGTTAAGTGAAAGTTACTCAAATTTTCGAATTTTTGGTTTCACCAATCAATTTAAATATTGATTTAAGTAACCTATGCTTAAATAAAAATAAAATCAGAAAAACCACACTCAAAGATGTTAAACATTCAATCAGTTGATCAATACACACACACCACAATTCTGGGTATTAGCTGCCCTGCTTTAACAACCACTTTTACCACGGTGCTGCCAAATTTTTACTCGACCTTATTGAAACTGAAAAAATTTAAATGAGAATTAAATAAAAAACTATATTAATGCCCTGAGGAAACGATTTTAATGACAATTCTTTAACGTGGTGGCAGTTTCTTAGTAAATTTGTTTGCCTCTCGAAGCATTGATCCATCCTTTGCAAGACCCAGTAATCGGCGATTGTGCTGCTGAGTTGGGCGAACGTTCCAAAGCTGCTATTCAATCGCTTGTTTTGTATGGAAAAAGGTTTCACATGCAAATAGACTTTAACAATTTGGAATTTTTGTGAGAAGACATTTGACATTTTCGAAACGAAATAATTTGACAAAAAATCAAATCAGCTGCTCTGCTGATACTACCTGTTCAATGTGCCTTGGCTTTATTTAATATTTCTATGCAATATATATTAAGTAATAACAAAGCAATAATAATGGAAAAATAAACAATACAAAAGCGGAAATTCAGTGATTAACTTACATTTAATTGACTTACATCAGATTCTATAAGAGGGCTATTGCAGTTATCCGGAAGTTTTCGATTTCCATTCTTTAAAAAGTTTTCTTCCTCTGTTGGTGTTATAGGTTTACCGCCTGTAAAATATAATATTTGTATAAGCTTTTTAGTTGAGGGCAATTACAAAAATATAATTCAGTAGTGTAAAAATACTATCCAATTATTTGTTTTGTTCAAAATTTTACTGCTTGCTATAGTTCACACACAAATTCCTTTTACACCGCAACTCGGAAACTTAACTCTATCATTCAATATATGTAGTGGGACTTATCGAGAAAAATTCCGAAGTTCTTCGAATCGTTTGAGCCAAGCATAAGCTCAGATAAAAGCGATGAAACGTTTGGGATTTCCGCAATAGTAATCGATGATATTGATGATTATGACATTTTTTAATTTAACAATATATCGGATGTTCCTTCTACACCTATTCTTTAATTTTAAATTAAGCATATGAAACAGAACTGGGCGTAGGAATCTTTATTATTAACTGAAAGAACATTCTCCGACATTTACTTTTTAAAAATAATTTCATTCAAATATTAGCCCCGAATACGCTGTAGGTGGTCCATTCGGATGGTCCAGTTTTCAACTAATTTTTTTCAGCATTACGCGAGTAATGCTGGCTTTATAATTTTTGAATGATAGCTGGCTTTTGACGAAGACTTTTGACTTCACATAACCCCAAAGAAAAAAACCTAAGGTGTGATATCACACGATAACTTGCTGAAACCAAATGTTTCCGACGTCACGGGCTTCAAAAATGTTCGTTATCATGGTGCGGTAGCGCTCGTTATTTAAGGTTTGTTCTGTCCGAATCTGAATTAAATTGTTTTTAAAAAATAAATGTCAGAGATTCTTATTTCGAGTGATAATAAAAATTCCTACATCCAGTTCTAAGTTGTTGACGCCTATTATGAGTTGCATTCGATCTTCGACTGTGATCGAACGAATTTTCATTTCGTATTATGACGCTCGTTCGATGATAGCGCTTTTGTAAATTTCGCTCGTTTAGGCTGTTCACAAGGTATATTTTTCAACGCTGAGAAGCTTTGTTTACAAATTGAGCAAACTAAGTAGTGTGCTTATACATATGTATCTAAATTTGTGCAAATTAAAATGAAGTAAAAAAGAAAGCGGGTTTATAAAAACTTGGTAAAAATTAGTACAACGGAATCCTGGTCCTATTGCGACTTATCACTTATCACTTTACAACTTTTGGATAAGCCCTTTTTTAAAGTAAAGCTGATAAGTGTTGCACTTTTCACTTATCAAAAAAAAACTTAT